ATGTAAAACAATTGTTTTACAGAGTTCTAAAATGCCAGGCTACAAGAAGGTTAGTAATTTAGCATTTTTAAATGCTATTAGGATTTTGGACAGGAACTGACAACTCCTGATAAAATTTCAGTTATTTTCCCTGGATGGACCCACTTCCTATCTGCTCCCCTAAGTAAAGTAATTGCATTTTCCACATTTGTTATTAAATTCCTTCTGTTCATATAAGTTCTGCTGTGTGCTCAAGAAACTTTTATTTGGTGCCAAACCACTGAGTGCACCCCAGAGCACAAATTCACACCAAAATGTACCCATAGCATAGAACTGTACATTGCTTACAAAAGCACTTTATTTTCTCTCTCACACACATCAGAAGGTCGTGTTTGAGAAGATGAAGGTTTCCCTTGGAGCACTGCATTCATGACATGAGACAGGATGTTTCTAGCACGAGTTCTCCTGATGCTGAATTGACATCTTCCTTGTTATGACTGCAAATTCCTAACACTGTAAACCTCACTGATGACTCAGGAGAAAAAAAGCAAACAAAAAAAGCAAAAAGAAAGGGAGAATGAAACCCTTTCAGCTGCAGTGTCTGTAAAGACACTGTGATACACAAAATGTCTCAAATTTAAAAGCAAAGCAGTATCCACTGGAGAAATAAAAAATTAGTTTTTCATTCCTAACTGCAAGTACTTGGGGACAATGAACAGACAGAATATTGTATGCAATCAAAGAAACTGCCTTTTTAAAAAATAACCTTATTCTTCATTGTTTGGGGAAACACAGTTGAACATGACATCACGCACATGCATCTATGGACAAATACAGTCATATTTTCAGTGAACTGAGCAAAACAAATGGATTAATTCTCTACATATATATCTAAATTATGAGGGCATCACAAATATTTACATATGCATTTTAATTGTCTTCCACTAAGACTGTTAAAATAAAGACAACATTTCTCACTTATTTCAAATTAAAGTATCCCTGCCCTACTGCTTCTGATACCTGAATCTTGGTGTACCTCTAACCATGGCATTTATTCCAGGAAAACCACTGTAAATGTTACCCCCAAAATATCTATCAAAAAGCTTTATTGTCTATACAAAATATTTATTTAAATGACACAGAACACTCTTTCCTATGTCAGCATTAAACACTTAACTATTTGAATAATCAAAAAATTTCCCAGGAACAGCTTCAGGGTAGAGCACAAACCAGTATCTTTGTTACAGTATTTACCTTAAACCTCTATCTAAGGAGAGCAGCACAGAGACTGTTTCTACCCTGACATGCCTATTATGCCTTTGACTCTGAATGTAGTTTCCTGGCTGTGCTGAGCTCAATTCCCCAGCATATTTCCTACACAGGCACTTTTGGTCCAATTGAGCCATGTATCCCAGTGTACATCACTGTGGGGAGAAGAATCACTGGCTTTGCCTTTTCACACCACAGTACAAGTGCTGTAGCCCCCGTGAATTGGAATAAGAACCTAGTTTAAACTCTTTTTAAACTGAATTTTATCTGGTCTCAAAGTAGTCTCTAAGAGAAGAGGGAAGCTGGAGTTCTCCTGCTGCTTCCCAGCATTCTGCCCAGGCAGGGTCAGGGAGAGAAGACAGGAGAGAGGATTTGGTGAACTAAGGTCACTGGAAATAAGAAATCATGATGCAAGGAAATCAGCACACGTATGCAACAGGTAATAGTCTTTTCAAAACCTCTGAAAAAAGTTACATCTGATCACCATTTCAAAGTACTGCAGGTGGCAAGCACCACTTTTGTGATCTTTTGGCAGCAAGAGAAATCAATACCACTCAGTGTGGAAATGCCAGCAGAAATGCTCAAAATATCTTAATATTTTAACAATTCCAAGTTCTGAGGGACTCTTATTTGAAAATAGTTGCTGCAACTATTTAGTTTTTTTCCATTTTTTTAATGCTAAACTCCATTCCTTTGTGGCCCCAACTGCAGGGGCAGCGAAAGGGACTGCAATAACAGTAAAAATATATGAAATTGATTTTTATTGTTCTATCTAAAGGAAACTCTTTTCTACTTAATAACAACAGCATTATAAACTGCAACTGCAGAGATATTTTGAAATTACAGTTTAAATAGTATCATTAAGACATGCTTTGCTGATGTGCTCTTAAGGCAGACATAAAATGAAGCTGTATCTTTAAATGCTCTCTACAGCACCAAATGTTACTAAAAAAGCAAAAACAATTTCCATAATTTCCCTATGTCTCATAAAAATGTTTTGAATTTAGCAGAACATTAATTTGTAGGAGATAAGGCAAGACAAACCGTTTAGTACGGTCCAAAGGAAAAAAAAACAAACCATAAAACTTAAGAGACCTTGAGAATCCTTTCAGCAGAGCTAAACAGGCAGTCTAGACTAGATAACGCCACCAGAACCAGGTTCACCAGATCTTCAGAAATGGAGACTACCAAAAGTGGAAGACAGTGTACAGAGACTAAAATGTAATTTTTCTAGCATAAAATTTCCTTTCCCCAGTTGTCATGGAATATGTAAAATACACTACTTGTGTGTTCATACCCATGCACTTCCCCTCCTTCAGAAATTATGTCCTCAGGTGGCCCCTTCTTTTTAAGCTGTCATGTGAAAAGGATAAAAATCAAGAACCACATGTCACTTTTAAGTTTTCAGAAATCCTATAAAATATTACAAACAACCAATTTGTGTTTCTTTTGCTTTTAATATTCCTGCCTGCTTACAAATATGCCTATAAATCTAATTGGACACCATGACATTGGTAAAAGAAAATGCTTGAAATTAATCTAATAGACTGCTGCATTAGAAACTTAAAACAATACACCCTTTCCATAAATAATACAGAACTTTATTGCCCTCCTTTAAATGAAAGCACTTCAGACATTGTTTGCTGGAAAAATTCACCTTTTCAATTTCAGCATGGTTCAGGCTTTTCTCTTTGTCTTCACATAATCCCTGATGGCAGAGGGAGGTTGGTCAGGAACACAAAACTCCCTTTAGTTATATTGCTACTCCAATAAACCTCACCTAGCCCACTAAGTTTTAATCCTGATTTGGCAACAGCTAGTTGGTGATAAAGGCAATTCTTCTTTTGACACAGAGTACATACTTTGACGGCCTGTTCAAAAATTCACTTTTTTTAGCATGAAAGTACTCAAAAGCTGAAGTTCGTTCTTCTATTGCCCCTCCAAAAAGATGTCTCTGCTGTACTGAAGAGAAAAGGAAAGGTTAGGCCATGGATTCAAAGTAGCTGTCAAGAAACACAAACATAAAGTTGACTTAATAGCGTTATTAGGAAATGCGTTCTGGGCCCACCCTTGGCAGTAACACCAGGGTTAACTCAAGTTGTAGCAATATTTAAAACAGCTCTTCAATTTTCCTTCTCCACCCAACTAAACAACAGAAAATCTTGTCAATAAATGAAAAACACCACACGTATTTAAGTGAGAGAAACCATCTAAACTTCCAACATTTTTCATCCTCATTTTTTTTTAATCCAAAAGATTTGTACAGCATTTTTAAAAAATAACTTACAGGATCAAAAGGAAAATAAATGCATAGCTTTAGATCCTTAGAATACAACCTCCCCCTATTGTGGAAGAGTTCAAAGTCATAAAGTGCTGCAGATATGACCACACATCAGACAAATAATCTAGTAACTAACTTATTTTTCTGGTTTATTTAACAATATTCCAGGCTTAGAACATTAAATAAAAAATCTCACAGACAATGGATAAGACTAACAATGGTTTTGCTCTTTTTTTTTTCTCTTTTTCTTCTCCTTTTTTTAAAAGAATGCTGAGACACATCAACTGAACCGACTACAATTTTATTTTGGATACCAAAAAATAAAAAGAAGCTGGAAGGAAGAGAGTAGTGCACTGCACTGATCTCAGTAAAACTGCTTGTAAGCATCACTGTTTACGTTCAGCCCTAGGAGGATGAAGATGGATACTGCCAACAGGGGAAGGCCAAGTGCAGACCAAGGGTGCTCTGAGCTTTGCCTAGATTGTGAGGGCACAGCTTTAAATTATGCTCATGTATGTATCCTCAATTATATAAGATAAGATCCAGCAGATTTTGTGTAGGTCCTGGAAGGAGGGCTTGCAGTGGTGGTAACAGCTGATGCAATTGATGACCATAAAAACCAAGAGCTCTTCCTGGGTGTCACAGGAGCTCAGGTATCTTGCTCCCTTCCATAATTTGATTTTGTTGCCCTCACAGACAACCCACATACTTGTGGGATTTTAGGCCAAGCCTATGTTTTGCACCTTGTAAAACATAACACCTCTTCAGTGGACATCAAGAATAGCAACATTCAATAGGATGCACAGTGAGTGTACAAGTGCAAATTAGTTTTCAGGAGGCTGGAAAGTGAAACCCCAGGCTTACTAACAGCCAAATACAGGCTACACCATCTGGTGACTGCATTTTTCCCAGGCTTAAAAAATTCTGTTTATGTAGTTGCAATTACTTACTTCACTGTTCCTTCAGCCTAGCCTCTGTTCTTCCTCCTCACTCACCCATCCCTTCCCACCACCTACAAAGAACACAGAGGCCTCAAACTTCAAAAGCAATTAAACCAAACCATAAACAAACAGTTTGGCAATAGATTCAATTCCATTGCCATTCTCATTTCTGTATGTTCCTGCTGTCTGTGCCCTTTTTACAACCCAATGTCCATGGGTGCCACAGTGTGAAAAAACCTCAACTTTCTTCCTCCAGAAGAGTAACAGACAGATATTGCTCAACATAGTTGTAGACTTAACACAGAGGTGGGGGGGGTGAGACACCACTAACAGAAATAAAACCCCAAGCAAACCTTGATTGTAACTGGAAAATGCCAAGAGTCCTCCACCGCATCTCAGAAAAAAAATGTGGTGCATCCAACTTTGTGTCTAGCGTGAACTCTGATCATGTTTGACTGCAGTATTTCACAAGAGATGCGGGGGGGGGGGGGGGGGGGGGGGG